GAAGAAGCGGTTATTACTGAAGTTGTGAGGCTGCCATTCCCAGCCAGAGCACTCCTGGCCCCTGGGTGTGGGGAGCTGGAAAAGCTAATTTAAAATTTTACTTTTAACCTGGGACGAAGCGAACAAAGTCTACTGAGGACCCACGTGGCTAGCATTAAAACAAGTTAGCGAGGATATGTCAGTTTCTGCTTCCTAGAAGCTCAGACATGCTTTCGGTGATAGGGTAAGAATTTCTAAGACTTCTGGGAGTAAAATTAGTAAAAGAAAAAAAAAATTGGTGGTGGAAAAGTTGGGGGAATCATTCATTCAACAGTATTTATTGAGAACCTGCTTTGGGCCAGGTTCTTTTCTGGGCACGGAGATCTCGGCCACCAACAAAACAGACATGTGGCTCCTATCTAGAGCTTCTAAACTAATGAAGAGAGGCAGAAATCAAACAACTGTTAGCTATGTCTAGTGGGGCAAGTGCTAGAAAGAAAAATGAGGCGGGATAAAGTTGGAGACAGTGACTAGAGGTGTATGTTATTTTTTTTTTTTTAAGATTTTATTTATTTGAGAGAGAGAGAGAATGAGAGATAGCGCGAGAGGGAAGAGGGTCAGAGGGAGAAGCAGACTCCCTGCTGAGCAGGGAGCCCGATGTGGGACTCGATCCCGGGACTCCAGGATCATGACCTGAGCCGAAGGCAGTTGCTTAACCAACTGAGCCACCCAGGCGCCCGGTGTATGTTATTTTTGATACAGTCATCGTGGAGGGTCTCTGAGGTGGTGACATTTCAGCAGGGGCCCGAGGAAAGAGAAGGAAGGTGTCATATAAGAGTGTTCCAGAAAAAGAGAGCAGGAGGTGCAGAGCTCGGAGGCAGGAATGGGTTTGGCAGATCCTGGGATCCACAAGGAGGTCAGTGTGTCCAGAGTGAAGCCAGAGGAGAGTTGCTGGCAAGAGGGTTCAAGAGGCAGCAGAGAAAAGATTTTGCTCTGAATATCCTGAAAGAGTATTGCAGGACGTGGCACACGTACCACCTGGGTCTCAAATGAGAGGTTTTCTTGAAAGAGTTTACCCTTCTGTAGGGCAGGGGGGACGAGGGGGCCCCCTGCTCTTTCCTCACAGGCTCTTTGATAGCTCCCCTCCTGAGTCCTAGCTATCAGGGTGAATCACCATTTTTTATTCTTTGGCTTCCTGGGCCTTAGCTGGCTTTTCGGCAGCGAGATGGGAGCTATCTGTTTGCCTTCTGCAAGCCCTGGGCAGTGTCTGTCTTGGGCCAACCATGTTGTCAGCGAGTGTGATAACGAGTGTTATCAATAAGGTAAAGATGCAAGTGGGAGAAGACGAGGAAAGATCCAGCAAGGAAGGACAAAGGGAGGAGAGAGAACTCCAGGACAAAAGCCGATCAAAGTGTGGGACGACGAGGGTGGTAGGACAATGCCCTCTCTCTCCCAACAGTGTTTGCTTGGGCCTCCGGGAAAGTGACTGCTTGTATTTCTGCCTCATAGTTTCCCATTAATTTTCTTGATATTAAGAGAAGACGAGACTGCTGGAGCTGAGCAGAGTCACAGACCGGGTACCCGTGCTCCTCCCTGGGATGCTCAGGCCTGTGGACTGGCTCAGATTTGAAGCCGGCGCCCTGGAGTCAGCCGTTGCCACTCATGCCCCCTGCACGGTTAAACATCTGATTAAATACGGGGGGGAATTATGCTGTTTTCGTTCAGCCTGTTCTTTGCTGACACAAACTATTCTTTGTTATAAAATTGAAACTATCAGAATTAGCATGGGAAGGGCCATTCTTTCAGTCTGTTATGTGATCTCAGTATCCCCAAGTTTCCCAGACCTCTATAAGCTCATTTTTGCAATACTCAAATTTTATAGGTTGAACTCTTGCTCTGACTGCAGGAAACCGGATCCCTCTGGATATTTCTGAAGGGATCTGGCAAGTGCTTGTGTGCCCTGGATGTTGCCTGTCCCTCGCCCCCACCTCCCACCTCACGGCACCGTCTGGTTTTCTGCCTTCAGGTGTCTCCTCACTTCTCACACTACTGCTCTCTCTGCTCGGCTTCAACCCAGCTGTGGACACAGCCCCCTCCTTTATTCCCCACTCACACCCAGAGCCCAGCTGGTGTGTGTGGAGGCAGGGGTGAGAGTCAAAATATTAACAACTGCTGTGGCCCATGGAATGGCCAATCAGCCCTAATGGGTCCCTGCTGTGTCTGGACCATTGGGGAGGTCAAGGGGTCATGGGTTTGGGGCCAGGGGGTTTAAGGCAATGGTGGTGGGAACTGGGAGAGAAGGTACAGGACAAGGGGCTATTTACCAGTATGTACACTAGTCTTGTGCAAGATTTGCAGAAGGATGGGCTTGTTGCTGGGCAACTTAAAATTAGGTCTCAGACATCACTGCAAGCCTGAGTCAAGCCCCATTAAAAGGAGCCCCGCGTCAGGGGTCTCCCTTCTTGGACACCAGCTGGCCGTCATGATTCTGGGGTCTCTCTTCCCTCCACCAAGTTCCTTCTCCAATCTCCATTAACTCTCAAGTCCAGAATTCCTCCCTCACCTAGCTCAAACATCTGTGAGAGGAGACTGAGAATTCCTTCACAGAAATGACCAAAAACACTCTCCAAGGAAGTCATAGTCATGATTTAACTTCATCTACGAAGATCCCCTCATTTTTGCACATCCAGCATGCCCCTGATTATTTTCTCAACAGCAGGGCGGTTTCATCCTGAGGACGAACTCCGTCCTCACTCCCCTAGAGCAAGGGGTACAACTTGCAGCCATCTTTTAAAATGGCATTTTGGGGGCGCCTGGGTGGCTCAGTCATTAAGCGTCTGCCTTCGGCTCAGGTCATGGTCCCAGGGTCCTGGGATCGAGCCCCGCATCGGGCTCCCTGCTCTGCAGGAAGCCTGCTTCTCCCTCTCCCACTCCCCCTGCTTGTGTTCCCTCTCTCGCTGTGTCTCTATCAAAAATTGAATGGAATCTTTGGAAAAAAAATAACATTTTGGGTCTTCTACCATAGACATGGACAGCTCGTGGCCAGTGTCTGGTCGATAATAAAGGCTAATGACTGATCTTTTAGTAACAAAATAAGTGATATTTTTGTCCATCACCACCTAGTCACACACCTTTGGAGTTTCTCAGTGACCTTCTTGAAGAAATTGATTTATGCCTTCACTCATCTGTTCAACAAATGTATTGAGAGCCAACTATGTGCTAGGCACTGTGCTCAAAATTCAGGGAAACAGAAGAAAACAAAAAAAGATGAGGATCGCTGCTCTCATGGAGCTTATATTTTAGTGAGGGAGAAAACCATAATCATCTAAATATCAACAAAACCATCAACATAACCAAAATAAGTAAAACCTAGAGGATATGAAATAGTAATAAATGCTAAGCAGCTAAAAAGCAGGAAGGACAAGTAGTGTTAAGGGGATTTTAGACAACGAGTGAGGACCTCTGGGAGGAGGTGATTTTTTGAATCACCTGAAGTAGAAGGGTGAGCTGACATCTGGGAGTGGGATGGGGAAGAGAAAACCCATTGTCACATTGTGAGCAAAACCAATGACACTGAGAAACCTCAGTTCGTAATAGTGATTGAATCGAAATACAAACCAGCACTCTAGGTGGTCCTTGGTTTTCTCCTTCACTGAATAAGGGTGAGGTTTTTTTTTGTTTCAAGAAGGAGCTACGTTTCCTCACTTTCAGTGCTTTGGGTAACCCATCACACTTTCCTTCCATCTCACTAAGCTAGAGGAGGAGATCTCCAGCACGGTTGTGTCAAACTGTTATACTTATGGTTTGTTTATGGCAGGAAATAAAAATGAATGACATTTATTCTCTTGGTGCCCTGCATTTTTCCCAGTAAACCAATCATGGCTGGTAAATTATGGGCTGCTGTTATGCTTTAGAATAGGTACAGCTGTTCCAAATAAGCTCGCATCAGAATAACCCAGTAACAAATGCTTGTTATCACATTTCCAGAGCGCATCGGCGTTGGGCAGTTTTGATCATCCACAGACTCTGTTGCCTATGGCAACAAGTGTTTAGATTTAGGTTGATAGGAGCCTGTAAGAAGTGATCGATTTTTAGAGGATTTCAAGGTTTAAAAAGTTTTCTCTCTTTTAATGGCTCATGTTCCTGTCATATCTTGTAACCCTTTGAGTTGGAGATGGCATTTTTTTTTTTTTTTTAAGATTTTATGAGAGAGAAAGAGTGAGGGTGCATGCATGAGCAAGGGGAGGGGAAGGGGCAGAGGGAGAGGGAGAAGCAGACTCCCCACTGAGCAGGGAACCTGATGTCGGGCTCCCTCCCAGGACCCTGGGATCATGACCTGACCCGAAGGCAGACACTTCATCACCTGAACCACAAAGGCGCCCCTTGGAGACGGCATTCTTAACGATTAGGTCCACAAGTGTGGCTCTGACTAAACAGTCCTGTACCTCTTTGGTGATCTTTGGCTATGGCCACGGTTATCTGTGGAGAATGTTGCTGTGTGGAGCTCTACCTCTACCCTGTATGTCCTTCACGGGGGTCATCTTTGGAAGGAGTGGCCACCCCCTTCTCAATAGCCATGTGCCCAGCCTGGCCAGCCAGTCTGCCTCCCTTCTTTTCAGCCCTGCCCTTCAATTGTTTAAATTACCTGCCAGAGGAAAGTGTTGTCTGAATGGCTGGTTAGTCCTGGAAGAAATCCTGGTAAAACACACACAAAAGAACAGAGTTCTAATTCCAACTTCCTCATTTGCTTAGGCAAGTCCTTTCATTTCTCTGAGCCACAGTTTTCCCATCTGTACAATGGGAAGAATACCAATCTCATAGGGCTGTAGGTCAATTAAATGAAATAATGTATATAAAATATCTCACATGATGCCCAGCTAGGAAGTAGATCAGGGGCATTATTAATTTCAAAGATCAGAGGAGATCACAGTGGTGGGAGTATTTGGCCTTTGTGAAGAATCACCGCCACCATCATAGATCCTTGCCTTTGCTACTTAGTTATAAACTCCTCTTTGACTTACCACAGTTCGGAGTATCCAAAGGACATTTTGGTCCTCTCATTTGCTATGGTTGACTCTAGTGAAGGGCAGGAGACTACAATCAAATGCCTTGCGTTCCAGTGGCAGTGCCTCATTGCATCTTCATGCAACCTTCAAGAAGCCATCTGTAAAATAGGGAAGTTGGACTCCTAGATCTCCACAATGCTCGACAATTTTATAACCCCATGTAAAGTGAAGGCAAGATCTGGAACAGTAGGTATAGATTTCTGTGAAGTGAGAGATAGGGAGGTTTCCACTTCAGCCCAGTTCTGTTTACCTTCAGCCTCACCCCGAAGGTGAGCCAGCCAGATTTTTTTTTTTTTTTTTGGCCAGATCTTTCTGAAATGAAAACTTGATTATGACACTTGGCTGCTTAAGATCTGTCAGCGACTTGCCATTGCCTTCAGAATGAAATCGAAATTCTATGGCATGGCATGCTAGGGGCAGCTTGTAACTGTGAAACACTGGAAACATACATGTTCCATAATGAGAAACAAGTCAAACTATAATAACTCAGTATTTAGAATATCATTCATAAGTTAAAATAATGTTGCCATGATTAGTAACAGCTTGGAAGGTGTTTCCAATGAAAGGACTTTAAAAATGGAGGCAAAAATATTTTATATATAGAATTATAACTATGCTAAATTATAGAAAATATTTTACTTTTCAAAAGACTAAATTTTAAAAACCCCAAATGTGAATATAATTGATTTGAGTAATTTTTCCTTTGTAATTCTATATTTTGCCATTTTTTCTTTAATGAGAACATACTGTTTTATCAAAAATTATTTTCATTGTTTTCTTATTCTAGCAGTAAAACATGTTCATTTTTTTAAAAAAATATTTGAGAGAGAGAGAGAGAGAGCACGAGAGGGGGGAGGGTCAGAAGGAGAAGCAGACTCCCTGCTGAGCCAGGAGCCCAATGTGGGACTTGATCCTGGGACCCCGAGATCATGACCTGAGCTGAAGGCAGTCGCTTAACCAACTGAGCCACCCAGGTGCCCCAAGCATGTTCATTTTAGAAACTTCAAAAAAAAAAAAAATCTAAGAAAAAAACCCAAAACTACCTATACTCCTGACCTCTCAGAAATAACCACTGTTAAATCCTCTTGTATATTCTTATTCTTACATATAGTGTAGGTGTATTTATTGTATATATACATATATGTATTCTGATATATATACATTCATGTATACAAAAATAAGAATATGCAAGAGGATTTAACAGTGATTATAAATTTTAAGTTTATAAACAATTTTTTTAAATTATAAATTTTCTGGGACCCAGAGTGGGCAAAAATAGGTGAGAAGTATACTCTTTATAGATTCTTTTAATGAGGCTGACTCCTCTGGGTCTAACACATCTTGTGTGAAGGTTACTCACATTTTTTACCATGGGATGGCAGCCCTGCTTTCTACCTTCAGGATACACAGGGTGGAAAGTGTTTCTGGATCCCAGAAGAGGAAAATTGCTTTCTATGTGAGAACTTTAGTTGCCGTCTTACTCTCACTTCACTCCTGATGCTCAGAATTTATTTGGAACTTCAGTGTAACAGAGACATCAGCCAGAATATTGAATCATCTGTAACCCTGAGGTCCTATCTTCATGAGTTCCCTTCCCGAAGGTTCCTAACTCGGTAGCACTCGGTTGTTCCCACTGAACACTTGTCCTTTCCGTTGTTGGCTGCAGGCGATGGAAAGTGAATGGGGGACGAGGCGGTCTTCCGTGGGCCCAGCACCATGATCCACAGCTGGGTAACTGGAGACATGAATCGGGAGTGGCAAGCACACTCATTTGTGCCCACAAAGATAGTTTCACCAAAATTGGAACCTGGTAGGGAGCCTGTTATAGAAACTCAGCCCACTCACCAAGCCTGATCCTACCGGGAACTGAGCCGTGGGGCTTGCCCAACCGAACCATGAAACAAATGTATTCATTCAACAACTACTTGAATGGGAACTATATAGATGAGCCAGGTGCCAAGGGGACAATAGTAATCAACATAGTAAGATCCCTTCTGGTGGCAGAAATGCCCCCTCTTCTCAAGAGGAGAGAGCAAACCTCAGAGGAGTCTGTTCTCTGATGGACAGCAGGAAGGGTTTCCCAGGCAGAGGCTAGGACACGTGGAAAGGCGGCAAAGGGCTTGGTACATTCAAGAAACGGAAGACCAGTGCGGGTTCAGAGCAGTGAATAGGAAGTGGCAAAGAATGAGGGTGGAATTCACAGGGGATCGAAGCCATGGTGAACAGTGTGGGGGTCATGTTCTGGGCAGTAGAATGCTGTACAAGGAGTTTAAACAGAGACAGAAGCCTGGGCTTTGGCCACTCTGGCTTCCCCTCACTCCTCTCTACAGCGTTCATTTCCCTGTACCCACCTCACCACCCCCCATAGTCTCCATCCCATTTCCCAGATCCCTCCATTCCTAAGGTAACCCTCAATCGTAACAGGTAAATGCCAGAAGACATGCCAGGAGTCTGCACTGTAATGGTAAAGCCTTCATACAAGGATGGATTCTCTGACCGCAAAATGATAGAGATGCATTGCCAGGAGGTGGCGAATATGCGAAAAGATCTTTAACCATGGACTGTTCTTCTAACTGGGATCACATAGCTCACAAAAGGTCAGACTGGTCTCAAAGAAAGCCAAGCAAGCACAGCACACGGTACTCCCTTTCCTGAGGGAGGGACCACAGCATGTGGAGGGCAGGATTCAAATCCTAGGGTCTTAACAATGGATGGGATCCTGGAGCTCTTCTGAGCCTTAGCCCATTTCACCTGGGCTCTTCTGGAGCGCCGGCTCAAACGATTTCCTTCCTTTTAATCAGATCTGAGTAACAGGTATCTCGTGTTTTCTGTCTCTTGATCACCCTCTGAGAGGGGCTAACGAACGGAGAAAGAGCCAGCCAGGCCCAGGTAATGCGCAGATTAAACATCCAGTCCTGGTGTCCTCAGAAGTGGTCGGCGTTGTATTCTCAGGAGAGCTACGCCTAAGCCTTGAGCGACTGAACTGAAGTTTGTGGCATTACCTCCCTCTTAGTCTTCTCATGCGGGGTTTTTCCAAATAGATCTTCAGGTCCCTCCAAATCTTTGACATCTAATCATGCAGCTGCTGCAAGAGATCGTCTGAATTATGGAAATGTTGATGCAATAAAGCAGCTACCTGTGGTCCGAGGACCATGTCGAGTGTTATCCGGTGGATCTCAGATACCCCACGTGTGTCTCCGTCTCTCACACACCCCCTCATTCCCTCTTCAAAACACCAGCCTCGCCTTGGCACCGTGGGACTCTTAAGTCCCCTGTGCTCAGCAATGACGGACCCATTTCCTGCCCCAGCCTGCACAGGGCGAGAAGGTGATGTTCCATTTGCTCTGTGAGAAGTTAAATGTCACCCTCTGATGTTTACTTGCTTTGAACTTTCCTAGCCAGGGTATGTGGGGAAAGTTTTCTCCATCCGACTCCTCCTTTACCCCCTGTGCTGTGTGCAAACAGTCCCTGCTTGTGATTGCACATTTCTGTCCTCACATCCTTCCAAGTGTGGGGTTTCTTATTGTCTTACTAACAAAAATAGCGACACTATTTACCCCGGACTCACTGAGTCAGGTGCTCTTCTAAGCCTCGCGACAAGCATGTGAAGTGTTTGCGCTCATGAACCCTCTTTTATAAACAAGGAAACAGGCACTGAGAGGCCAGGGAACCGGTCCAAGATCACCCACTGCGAGGCAGAACCTGTGCTCTTAACGCCGCATCTAGGTCCTGTGCAACTACGTCCAACCAACACCTATTACCCTGTGCCAAGCACCCTGTCAGACACTTGGGATTTGGGGCTGACTACGTGGAAAGCCTGGCCTACAGCAGAAGAGAGACACGCAGGCACACTAGAAACCAGGCTGCCGAGTGGGGAAGGGGAGGCCGCACAGGGGCCGGAGGACTTTGAAGGGCAAGTGGGAGCCTGTGATACCTCATCGGGAACACTGAAGTGGTGGTAGGGGGTAATGCGGCGAACCGTAAGCCTCTCTTCCACCGTCAGATAGGCTTTGTTCCCTTCTGTCTCTTCAGTCTTTGAGACTTCAGTGTTGCCTTCTGCCCCAGGAGAGCAGTTCTTGAACTTCGATGGGCATTAAAGTCACAGCAGCTGGCGGATGCCCTCATGGCAACGTGGTTGAGCCAATTTTCAGCCCCCCCCCCCCCACACTCAGAGATGGTGTGTGCCGGAGTCTGGCCGATGAAATGGTGGGTGAGGGCCATGCCAGTCACCTCCTAGCCTGCCTCCTAAAACCGCCCTCGAAACCCTCCTCCCTCCTCTCCCAGAATCTCGTGGCAGACTCTGGGGCTGTTCCAACGCACACGTGGGTTTGAGGGCTTAAGAATCACTAGCCCAATACATTTGTTGTAATTGCCACCTCGTTACCCTTAATGTTTCTTGGGGTTGGGGGGGGAAGCTTACAAATGCAGATTGTCATTTTCTTTTAACTTTTCTCTCCGAAAAATCTTCCCTCAGCCCGCGTTTGCTGCTGAATCTACCCCTAAGCAGGTAAGAACTGTGGGTGCCTGAGGGACCTAACCTGCACTGGAGCAATCAGGAGGGGGGGGGGAGAAGCCTTTTCTCCTCCCTTAGGACTGGAGTCCTGTACCATAAGGGGGCAGAGACACGGAGAGTGACCCCCACCCAAAAGAATATAAAATAGCTATTATTTTGATAGAATTCAACATACATACATATATGCATACAACACTCGAGCATCTAGTGTATACCGAGCACTATGCTAAGCACTCTACGGACAGTAGCTCATTCAGTTCCAGCAACAGCTCTAGGAGACAGACATTAGAATGATCTTATTATACAGATGAATCGAAGGCACAGAGAAATGAAGTGATTTGCCCAGGGTCACATGACAAAGGGAAGATAAGCCAGGACTGAAAGACCATCCAGTGCCTAAGTCTACAGGGACTAACCCCACACACAGGGCCTTCACAGAGCTGCCCCGGCTCCCAGGCCCCCATCCCACTACCACCCTGTCCCATCCCCTCACTCTTGGTGGCCCTTTTCATTCCAGACTGGACGGCACTCCCCTTGCCCACTACTCTCCACACTTTCTATAATTAAAATTTAGTCAATTTTAAC